GGGGATGGAGCACCTCTGCTACGAGGACAAGCTGAGGGAGCTGGGGTTGTTCAGCCTGGAGAAGAGGAGACTCCGGGGAGACCTAATAGCGGCCTTCCAGTACCTGAAGGGAGCCTACAGGAAGGCTGGGGAGAGCCTGTTTAGAAAGGCCTGCAGTGACAGGACGAGGGGAAATGGCTTCAAGCTGGAGGGGAACAGATTTAGGTTAGAGATTAGGAGAGGGTTCTTCACTGTGAGGGTGGTGGAGCACTGGAACAGGTTGCTCAGGGAGGTGGTTGAGGCCCCTTCCCTGGAGATATTCAAGGAGAGGCTTGATGAGGCCCTGGGCAACCTGGTCTAGTTGGGGGTGTCCCTGCTGACTGTGGGGAGGTCGGACTAGATGACCTTTGGAGGTCCCTTCCGGCCTGGGCAATTCTATGATTCTATGATGACCCCCGAGGAGGAGAGATGGGGAGCGGGAGGGGAGAGAGAGGCTCAGATGGACCCCCCACGGAACGAGATGGGGTTGGGAGGGACCCCTGGAATCCTGGGCTGGGGAGGGAGGAGTGTGGGCGGTATGTGGAGGGAGGTCATTCCCCCCCTCTGCTCTGCACTGGGGAGGCCACAACTGGAATCCTGCGTCCAGTTCTGGGCTCCCCGGTTCAAGAGAGACAGGGAACTGCTGGAGAGAGTCCAGCGTAGGGCAACCAAGATGATTTAGGGATTGGAGCATCTCCCTGATGAGGAAAGGCTCAAAGAGCTGGGGCCCTTAGCCTGGAGAAGAGAAGGCTGAGGGGAGACCTTATCTATGTTTACAAGTACCTAAAGGGTGGGTTGAAGGAAGATGGAGCCAGACTCTTTTCAGTGGTTTCCAGCGGTAAGACAAGGGGCAACGGGCACAAGCTGGAACATGGGAAGTTCCACTCAAATACAAGGAAGAACTTCTTTCTGGTGGGGGTGACAAAGCCCTGGAAGAGGCTGTCCAGGGAGGTCGTGGAGTCCCCTTCTCTGGAGATCTTCAAGCCCCGCCTGGATGCCGTCCTGAGTGATGTGCTCTGGGCAACTCTGCTTTAGCAGGGGAGTTGGACTAGATGATTTCTAGAGGTCCTTCCAACTCTGACAATTGCGTGATTCTGTGATCTACTCCATCCCCCCTGCCAGAGCAGGTCCACCCAGAGCAGGTTGCACAGGAATGTGTCCAGGCGGGTTTTGAATGTCTCCAGAGAAGGAGACTCCACCAGCTCTCTGGGCAGCCTGGAAGACCTTCTCCAAAGCAATTACAGTGGGTTCATCAAACCCGTTCACAAAATCCAAGAGCAGGAGGGTCTCAGTTTGGCCAGTGAAACTGCTGGGGCACCGCACACCCCGTTACAAAAGCATTTTGCAGGATAGAGGTGGTCACAGCTCACCCTGCCTGCAGTGTGCCTGCCAAAGCCTCTTCACTGCAGCTTTTTACCATCTCCCCAGCTGCTGCCCTGCCTCTGCTCAGTCTTTTCTACACAACCCCACGTCCTCTGTTTTTTTGTTTTTGTTTTTTTTTTCCCCTCTACAGATTTTCCCATAGGGTTTTCTAAAACTCTGGCCATTTTTCTTGCTCTCTGACATGGGACTGTGTCCCAGCGGCTCCCCATTTTTTTTTTTAAATTTTTTTTTCCTGCAGCATGAGTCAGAAATCTCAAAGCTGAATTCAGCTGAGGCCCTTCCAGACCGAGGAAAGCAAAAGGTTCATTTCATGTCCATGGAGATGAAGCGCTGTTTGTTTGCTTTCTGGCTTGGCTTAAGATCTCCTGACTCCCGCGATACGGCAGGTTTAACACGTACAAGTTTAGGCATCAATTACACAAACAGTGTAATTGTTTGCTTTTGTGCTTCCATTGCCACGAACACCGGCGTTAATTCGTTTTTGACCCAGTTTAACACCCGGAGCCCTTTCTGCAGAGCTATTAAAGCACCGGCAGCGCAGAGTTATATGCTTGTACAGATGGTTATTCCTCCTTAAGTGCCTTTGCTGAATTACCTACTGTTTATTTTACATAATTTTCTCAACTTGCCAGGATCACTTTAATATTACAGAAGCGTTTGCAGCTTCTCCTGCTCTGGCAAAATGCGTGCTGGCCTTGAAGATGTTACTGAAAGTATTTAGTTCCACGCAGAACTGGGCTTCAAACCTTCTTCCACCAGCACGAGGGAGCTGGTTACAGCTCCTTTGGGGTGTGCCTTCTCAACTCCTTCCATGCCCGCTCACAAATGAGGGACAGCCAACCCAAAAACCTCATTTCCCGTGGCCGCTGATGAAAAATAAAGTCAGAGAGAGAGGCAAAGAGTTTTGAAAGTTGAGGACAAATGCAAGAGCCTTTTCTTGAGCGTTTCTCAGCTCTCCACCAAGGCGGTTGCTCCTGGCAGAGGGGAAAAAAAAAATAAAAACTGATTGATTTACTGTGATTTCTGCCTGGAGCATCGGCTGATGTGGATTTGTGGCCTTTTAATGATTACAACCACTTGCAAGTTAGACTGGTTGGTTGGTTTACTGGCCTGGAGTCGCTTAAATCAGGCTGGGTCTGATTAGCGTACCTAAATATCTTCGGGTTTGGGGGTAGAGTGTGGGTTTTTTGGGGGGTTTCCCTCTCCCCCTTGCAACTAAAGCTCTGCCGTGGAAAAGGAAGCGAGGAAAAGCTCGGGGACCTAAAGAGGGGATTTTTCACCTCAATTTTCTCCCTGTGCCGGCAGGGGTCCCCGCTGCTCCACGGCGCGGGGGGGAGGCGGGGCCAGGGGGCGGTCCCGGTCACCTGCAGCTGAGCTTCCTCCTCCCCCGCTATAAGGCTCGGCGCCGCCCGCCGGGCAGCGGGGCTCCGGGATGGGGATGG